CTTGGATGAGATCCTCAATTTTGTGGCGACGTGGCGGGGCATAAGATCCCTTCACTTTATGGATTTCTTCGCTGGCGTGGGGGTTGCCGGCCTTACCTTCACTAGAGCTGGCTACAGCGCTGAAGCCTACGACGTGGAATCCAATCCACAGCACGATTTGACCACAAGAGTTGGTTTTTTCACAGCGCTGACAATGATTATGGCACTCTTTCCAACTGGCTTAATCCTGCTGGGGCCGCCTTGCTCTCTTTGGGTGTTTATGTCGCAGAGTGTCCATCAGAGAACTGTCGAGAACGCTGTGGGTGACATCGGGAAGGCTTCTGTTCGTGCCGCTAATTGCCTAGTGAGGAACTGCACAATGCTCCTTGCAATAGCGCACTGCCGGAAGGTGTTCTTTATACTTGAGCAACCGTCTACCTCCAGAATGGTCCACTTTCCTTGGGTGCAGGCGCTTATGGCAGCGCTCCGGTTAAACAGAATGGGCACATGGATGCGGTGCTTTGGAGGATTAATTCCAAAGGCGAGTTACCTGCTATCGAATTTGCCCTCCTGTGCATCCCTCAAACGTATCTGGAGCAAAAAAGATCCCTTGATCGCCGAGCTCCTTGGAGTAAACTTGGAGTGCTCTCTGCTTCTACATGGACTATGGGTTGTTCTTTAGTGTTTGCTTCAAATTGTTTTTCCTTTTTCTCAGTTATTGCGATTTAGTTCTTTAAGAACATATGTGGCTTTAGGGTTTCCAACTCTAGGACGGTTTGTCTATCATTCCTGAGGCTTCTATTTGGCGGAAGCTGGAGTCGAAAACATGGATTTGGCCCCTGCTCTTTGAGGCTCGCTTTGCCAAGGGCGTGGCGAGGAAGAGGAAGCTTGCCAGGAAGAAATTGTGCGTTTACAAAAAATCCAAGTCTGGACGAGTTTCTGGGGGGCCTGACTTGAAGGCAACAGCTGCGTACACTTCTGTCTTCTGCCAGGAGGTTTGCAGGATTTGGCAGGATGCTTGGAGCAAGGGTTTGCTGCCAGAGCAGCATTACGGCAGCATGGAGGATCTCCTACAAGATTGCGGGTTTTTTGGTTCCTCGTCGATTGCTGCTTCCGCTTCCGCTGCGCCCTCCTCATCTTCCGCGAATCAGGATTCAGAGGTTGGTCCACAACTTCGGAGAATGTCGAAACTTGTTCCAGGGTTCCAGATTGTTTGGCCTTCAATAACTCAAGGTCTTCAGCAAGTTTTTGGTTTCTGGGATCTACTTCGGGTTTTTCAGGGCAATTTAAGGGGTCGTAAAGGGCTCAATAATTATCTAGGGTGAATAAAGGTTGTAGGCTCTTAAAGTTTTTCTTTTACTGAATAAGGTTTAGATAACTGTTTTATTTTTTGGGGAATGAACAAACCTGCATCCCAAGAATTCTGACGCCAAAACCTCCTTCAACAACCCAAAAACCTTAAAACCCCAAACCCTTAAAGCTCCGAGGAAAGACATTTCGCAGTATTTACCAGATGATAATGATCATATCTCCGATACGGACTTCTTGAATGGTCTCACAAGTGCTAGTGATCTTCTCGCGCAGATACAATCTGCTCTGGATGCATGCGAGGCTCACAGTACGTGACAGTGGCCAAGAGGTTTAGGGTTTAGGTTTTCAATATTCATCAAATAACCTTTACACGCCCGAGTAACCAACCCCAGAAGTTTACACCTGTTGTTTCATTTTCCGTAAGCCTCGAAATTGTTCACAATTGGCTGCTGCGTACTGCGTAGAAGCTTCCATGCAGAAACTTTTGCCAAGCCCTGGAGTTGTAAGAAGGTGGGGAGGTATCAGGGAGGTGAACTATGGGTAGAAGATGCCACCTCACGAAACAAGTCCTCAGAACCTAAGCTAGCAGCCGTAGGTAAAGAAGTGGGGGTCTGTTGTCAGGTTTTACCCGATGGTCAAGAAGTCTGGGGCAGTCTCAAAGACATTCGACAGCAAGTGGTGTCTTTTTCCCCAAAGTTGTGGCATGGTCCTCAAACATGGACTGGGGATAGGTTGACGGTGGGAACCTTTGTAACCAGGGGTTATGATCAGCTAAGCGAGCAGGATTCAGGGTTTCTGCAGAGGTTAGGGTTCCATGTGTCCCCAAAGGAAAGCGCATGCACCTCCGAAGATTTACGACTGGGACCCCGACATCCCGTGGTTAGCCCAGAAATCCTCCAAAGACAGTTGTATAAGCTTCACGCGGCTACAGGTCATGGAAGCATCAGTAGTCTGATACAACTTTTAAAGAAACGGAATGTATCTCCGGCCGTACTGGAGGCTGCTGAAAAGTTTCAATGTTCTGTTTGTCATGAGAAGCAGAAGGTACAACCCAGACATCTAGCCTCATTGGAACCTCTCCCTCCTCGATTTCATATTATATCAACCGATATAGGACATTGGAATCATCCTGAGTCTGGTGAAGCCATCCAATTTATGCTAGTCATCGACGAGGGCAGTCGCTTCCGTGTAGCTAAGGTTCTAAGCAAGGGTTCGAAACAGCAACCAAACGCAGCTACCTGCCTCCAGTACCTACGTGAGGGTTGGTCACAATATTTTGGCATGCCCAGAACCTTAAGACTGGACCCAGGGGGTGCCTTCAGGAGTCAGAAGATAGTTGAGTTCTGCGACCAAGAAAGTATCTATCTAGACAACACTCCTGCAGACGCGCGCTGGCAAATCAGCTGTAAAGGGCGTGAAAGAGGTAATGACCAAGATGTGTCTAAACCAACCCGAAATCTCCCCGGAAGTTGCTCTCGCCACTGCAGTGTCAACCTTTAACAACCGTGATAGTGTAAGAGGGTTTTCACCAGTTCAGCACATTTTTGGTCACCGGCAGATTCTTGGATAGAGCCCAAAGCTACCCTGAAGAGTTTGTTGTAGAGAATGCCTCTCTAGAACTAGAACAAGCAGCCAAGCTAAGATCCGAGGCAGAGAAAGCTCACTCAGAATGGGTTTCTGCTCAGCGCATTTCTAGGGCCCTCAATTCAAGACCCAGACCTCCCTTTAGGTTTAATCCAGGGGATCTCGTCTATTTTTGGAGGTCCCAAGAAGCAGGCCAGAGTAGGCGAAGTCCTGGTTCAAAGCATGGGAGATTTTTGGGCCCTGCTAGAGTGCTAGCAACTGAAACTAGGAGGGACGAACAGGGGAAGCCTCGACCGGGTAGTATCTGGTGTGTGCGTGGCCGCAATCTACTTAAATGTAGTCCAGAGCAGCTTCGTTTTGCTTCCCCCAGAGAAGAATTGTTAGAATCTCTTGCAAAAGAACATGGACATGAGCAAACGCCCCGTGGACTTACACACGTGTGGCCAATGAAATTGGCGGCAGCCAGTTTCAGGACATCTCAGGCGAGGTTCCTTCGGAGACTGAATGGGACAGAGCGCAGGATGTTCTTCAGGAACCTCCACCAGTCAGATTCAGATTTCGAGGGAAGCGAGCCTCCCCAGAACCTGTCGAGATTTTGGAAGAACCAGCAACTGAAGGCGCAGCCAGTTCTCGAAGTCGCGCACACTTGTTGGACCAACCAATTTCCTTGCATGGAGCCATCCCTGGGGAGAAGTGGTATGACAAGGTGCCTGAGACAGCCTGGTTCACGGAAACTACAGACTGTTGGCATGACAAGGCAGCAGCCGTTGAAATTGAGATTTCTCTTCCAGAATCGCGAAATGGTTTGGAACACGCAGCCAACAATCTTGAAGCCTACTTTACTGGCGCTATGAAGCGACGGGCGGTAGAAGTATCCGAGAAACGTTTGTCACCAGAAGATTTTTCCCGCTTCCAAGACGCTAAGGCCGTGGAAATTAAGCATTATCTGGCAGCACAAGCTTTCGAGACCTTGCCTCGTCACCTGCAACCTTCCAAGGAGCGAGCTATTCACATGCGATGGCTTTTGACGTGGAAGATCAAAGATGACGGCGCAAAGAAGCCGAAAGCAAGATGCGTCATCCTGGGGTACCAGGATGAAGCGTACGAGCGCCGAGCAACCTCAGCGCCAGTGATGACAAAACAGACACGACAGCTTTTCCTTCAATTCGCCGCCAACCAGAAATGGGAGGTCGCCAAAAAAGACATCACCGGAGCTTTCTTACAAGGCAAGGAGCTCCAGGAGACCTTGTACTGTGTACCGACTCCGGAAATATGCGCAGCGCTGAATATTCCCAGCGGCTCAGTGACCAGATTGAGACGCGCAGCGTACGGTCTGGTACAAGCTCCACTTCAATGGTACATGACCATTGCCGAGTTTCTTGAAGAAATTGGCCTCGAACGACTTCGTTCGGACCCATGTGCATGGGTATGGCGGCCGGACAAACACGCAAAACCTCGAGCAATGGTGGTGGGCCATGTCGATGACTTTCTCTTTGCTGGCTCAAAAGACGATAAAGGTTGGCTCGACATCATTAGGCGTATTCGAGAAAGGTTTGCTTGGGGTTCTTGGGAAAGTGGGGATTTTGTCCAGTGTGGAGTTAGAATCCAACAGGGTGAGACAGGGTTCAGACTTTCCCAGGAAACCTACGCAGCCTCAGTTCCCGAAGTTCCTGTCAACAGCAGTAGACGTAAGGACCGGAATTTAGAAACCACTCCATGGGAAAAGACCAAACTCAGGGCCACTTTAGGGGCTTTCATGGTATGCACAACAGGTGGGCCCTCATTTCTCTGCTGCGGTTGGTCTTCTTCTATCGGAAGTGAACACCAGCACTGTAAATACATTCCTTCAAGCTAGTCAGCTAGTTGCAGCAGTGAAAGCCCCAAAACGACATGAGATGTTAGTCCATTCCTTTCCCGACAATGTGGAACTAGGGTGTTTTGCTTGGGTTGACGCAGCCAATGAAAATAGGTATGACGGGGGTAGTACGCAAGGGATTTTCATTGGGATGGCACCTTTAGGAATGTTGCAAGGGGAATTGAGCGGGGTCACTCCTGTTGCATGGCATTCCCATAAGATAGATCGGGTTTGTAGGTCTCCTGTTGCCGCTGAGACCCAGGCAGCTGTAAATGGAGAGGACAACTTGTACTTTGTAAGGTACCAATGGAGTGAAATCCTTTATGGGTTTGAGAGCACAAAGAATCCTGATAAGACGGTTGCTAAGGTAACGGGATGTGTGATTTCAGATTCACGAAATGTATACGATAAGCTTCAGAGCAAGGTCCTTACAATCAAAGGGGCTGAAAAGAAAGCCAACATTGAGCTTCTTAGCTTAAAGGAGGCACAGAAAAGGACCGGCGTCATTGTACGCTGGGTACACTCAGAGGCACAGCTCGGCAACTCCCTGACAAAGAAACACGGAGGCAAGGAGCTTGAACTGTTCTATCGGATGCAGCATACGTGGCGCATTGTGGAAGACCCTCTCATGAGGTCTGCTCGCAAGAGGAAGGTGGCAGGGCTCAACAACTTAGAAGGGGATTCGAAAACAGAGAGTATATGTTCGAACGTTCTTCCCGACTTCCAAGGGGAAAAGGAGCCGGGGGGCATGCAAGATGTATAGACATCTCTTGCTGTTCGCTCGTGAGGAACCTCAGGACCTCTCAGCTGTGTGAGATCAAAAGAAGTTTGTGCGTTAGAGCCCAGTAGTCGCTACGCTTGCCTAGCCATTGGGGTAGCTCTGACTTTTCTTCGATCAGCAGTCTTGGGCAACTACTTGCGACGCCTCACGGCTCGCAAGCCCTAGGCCCTAGACCGAAATTCCTCCGGTTTGTCGTCTCCAAGTGGGTATCCTCCATCTGTGAAAAAAAGCTCTGTTTACATCCTCGGTTCAGGCGTTGAACCAAGGCCGGCCTGGTGTCCAAACAATTGCACCCGCTTGTTTTGTCTTTTCGGTTGGGAGGTTTGGGGTTGAAGCGGGTGGGGTTGGGAGATTTTGAGGGTGCAGGTTTCATGGAAGCGTTTCTCAAATTTTGTCCTCCAAAACCATGATGCAGATCCAATCGCAATTAATCTTTGCAAAGCCTACAGCTCATGGCTCTTTGCCTTCTCCCTCTCCCCCGCAAGCACCAGTAGGATGATCCATGTTCCTGGTCCCTTCAGGTCCATGCACATCCGAGGTCTTCACAGTAAACTTAGGGTTTCAGCCTCGCGAAGCCTGGTTCGATTCCCATTGTGGGGGTATCATGATGTATCATGTAGGAGCCCAAACAATTCTTTTCGATGTTCAGGCTTAGCTCCTCGAGTTTCGAGGCTTGGGGCTTATAGGGCCAAGTGTTGGGATTCTTGTTGGGAGCTAGGGTTGGGGGCTTCGCATGTCAGTTAATTACCCACGGCCCATCGCAGAAGTTCGAGTGTCTTGGGTCTGCTTAAGTC